TAGGCTGATGAGAGTCACATTGCTACACCTGTTCGGAAAGTTCGGCCAACTCTGAAGCTCAAGAGGAAGCAGTCGGGGGCCACTTTGGGGAACCCTGGCAATTCTGTCAGCGCTGGCGCCAAAGATTCCAAACCCAAGAAGCCCATTGTTCTTACGTCCATGAAGAAAACCCGACAAGTTTCATGGCTTGGACATGTTTTGGCACTTTGTTGTGAATCAAACTCGCAGTTCAAACATGTTTGAGCATCTTGTTTAAGTAAGGTTCTGTTGCACAAGGCCGCATTGGCCAGAATCCGCCGAATGGTGGCACCCAAGAAGAAACGTCGTGACTTGGATGTTCCTCAGTTTGTGAAGGATCAATGGAATAGTGGAAGGGCTGTTCGGGACAACCTCGCCGAACTGCTAAAGCAAGTCAACTTCGACAAGGACAGCACAAGTGCTGAATTTGCAATCGCATCTCACAAATTCCGATTTACCGATCTTCTTGGTTGAATTCATTCAGAAACCAGGAGGTATTCATCAAGAAGGTGGAGATTTCGGTCCGAAAGGACAAAGTGATCGAAGTTACTATTTTGGAGGGATGGTACAGCGAGCATGAAATGTCCCAAGATCTGAAGTGGAGTGCGTGGGATGCTTATGATCTGGATCTACTGACTCGTTTCATTGTTTCCATTTGATTGCAATGGAATCCATGCATGCATATTGTCACTTGATGTTAGACCACTGTTCCTCCAGGGCCCGAATTGCTGGTGCAAAGCGTGTTTGTGAAGCCGCCCCGGATACGCTCGTGAGGCAGGCCATGGTATTTAGTCATTTAGTTCTGTATGTCATGCACGTGATGCTTTTTTGATGCCATCAATCCGAGTTAGAATGAGGGACGCATCGCTGCCCAGGACAAATATGTATGATGGCGTTCGAGAGTATCATGTTCAGACCCGTGAAAGTGGAACCCGATCCGAGAAACAGACTGAGTCGGAGCTGCGCAGCAGAACTGAGGATTGTCAATCTTTTGGATGTTTGTGTTGTCAAAACCTTTCCCATCGTGGTCCACCCGCTTGACTGCACCCTTCTGTCCTCTGCTCCTGCCAGGAAGACACAGGGGCGGCGATCCCAAATCCGGGCTTTGATGGCCTCGAGAAGGCAATGAACCGAGCGCAGGCTCCGAAGGTCGCTGCAGTGGCCGAAGCAACTTCGGAGGTGGGGTATTCATAAGTTAACATGACCAAGGGAAACCAATGCAAACATCATTACTTCACCGAATCCAAAAGGGACTGTGGTCACCAAAACATTATACCTGTTGCCAGTACAAAGATCGATTCACGAAGTTCATGGAGAGCGTTCTTCAGAAAAGTGGGAAACTTCGATCCCAGCTCCGGGACCTCTCTGAGAAGTTCAAAAGCACTGCGCAAGTCAAATCGTATTTGGGCCAACTTTTTCTTGCAGCATCATCTTTCCAAACATAAACCATTACCTAATGTTCTTTTTCCAAGGTATGAGCAGGAAGTGGCCGATGAGATTAAAGTCCTGGATGGTGAGTACGACAAGCTCAATGAGGTGCTGGCTCATGGTGCAGTCGATGGCTACGGACAACCTTTTCTAGCCCAGTAATCCTGGAAAGCTATGGCATCCCCCAGCCGAACCACCTACGAAGGATTGATTTGAGGTATTATTAAGTGCAATTTTCATGTTGCCGGATCGGTCATCGGTAGAGTTTGACAATTTCTTTTCCAAAGTTTTTGGAGCCCTCCGCATGCTGAGGTTTTGGGCCAAAGCAGAACCAGCCATGCGAGCCGCGACCATGAGGCACCCTTCCTATTATCGATTTGTTTCTCAATACAGGATCCGATGTTAAACTGTTTGGGATCCCGAGCCAGCAACGCATCAGGTGCAGCCGAGCGGCAGCATTGGAAGCCAAGCTGAGGTTCCAACCTCGACGGTTTCGGTGTCACATTGCCCTTTGGTTTTTTGGAACAGCAGCTCATCGGTTTCAAATTTGTGTGCTGAACAGGAATGCCAAGAAGTATTTCGAGAAGATCGACACCAATAAGCGTCCGGGTGAGAACCTCCCTGGCACAGGATCTAAAAAACCCAAGCCTACCGCTGCCAAGAGCAGAGCTTCGAAGAAGAAGTAGGTTGTTTGTATCAGCTCGACAAAAATGTCGCTTTTGTGCGTTTGTTTGGACTCTTAGAACTGCGGGAAACCCTGCAGCTTGAGTGCTACAAGCATTCTCTTTCATGGCTATGGATTCTCCATTTGCGCCAGGTGTTCTGAGTGAGATATATATTTCCGATCTTAGGCCCACACTGTAAGCATTTCATTTGGTCCAATTCTTTTGACCTGGCAGAGCAAAGAGCGGAGAGATGTGGAGAGAGCGTGGTTTTCACCATGCCCAATTTGGGGTCGAAGCAATCGTTGGTTGCAGGGAAAAATCATCTATGACGTGTGCGACACAACTTCTATAGATTGTTTTCATACTAGGAAGTGGCATGCCCGTCACAATCCGTGCCAGGAAAGCCTGCTGGAAGAACACTCCGAGGATTTGCCGCGGACATCGGTCAAGGAGTTCCGCAGCTAAATTTCCGAAAGCAAATGCCCCACAGTCTGTTTGTTCCACAAATTGGGGGAGAATATGGGATAATGTTTTTCAGTAAGGGGTTGAAAGTGCATGTTCTGATTTCTGAGAAATCTTGAATTTCCCAAAAGTTTTGATAGCCACAGTCGACAGTTATATTTGAGCCAACTTGCATCGGGACCCTTCCACCATATTTGAAATTTAAAACCCAATATAGATTGCACAGTGACAGCCGCTTATCAAATTTAATTTTCGGGGTATGTTGTTTTAAGTATGGGGTAAACACTCAGTATCACTAAGTAATTTTAGGGGGTTTGGTCGCTTAAGGTGTGGTAGCCTGAACCTTTCACTTCTCCGATGGTAGCCCTACACATCCGGGGCTGCTAGCAGGCAGGCCGTTCGAACGGCTCGCAACATTGTCGCTGATGTTGGCAAAGCTGCAGCAAATGCTTCTGGTGGGCTTGTGAGCTTCTCGGAGTGCAGTGAGGGCAATGCAGAGCGGGATGCCCATAGGTTCTTTAGCCGATACAATTTGAGACTTCCTTTGAATTTGGTGCCCATTCGCCCTGACAAGCCTCAAGGGATAAAAGGACTGAAGCTACAAGACTGGTGTTACTTTTTACTTCATCGGAACTGCTGGCACATGCTATGCGGTCTACTTCGGCCTGATCCAAGCCGTGAAAAGGCGATTTGGTCCGATTTTTGGGCTAAATTTGAAAAAGCACAACCGGAGCATGAAGTTTTTTCGCTGGCTAGGGCAGGAACAATACAACTGTCGAATGCAGCTGCAGTAGTATACCATGGCGATGAAGGACGTGGCAGAAAAAAGCAACCATTCCTTGTCACCAGTTTCAAGTCCTGCCTTGGCAGGGGATTGGCACCTGGTTTGAGAGCTTCGAAGGCAAAAGGTGTTTCCCAGCACTACATCAAACAAAAATGCAATTATGTTGGGTCGGTTTACACCACGCACATGCTTTCCTGCGTTTTGCCAAAGCACCTTTACCGAAAGGATGATGAATCTGTGCAAGACATTTTCAACTTCGGAGCAAATTGTGCTGACGACGTTGGCCGGCATGGAGTGGTTGACACCAGATCTGGAGAACGTTTCTGGATGATTTGCATAGCAGTCACTGGAGACTGGCAGTTCCTGGTCAAATGTGGCCGATTGGCCCGCAGTTACTACAACTGTGAGAAAGGCAAGGGGCAGACTGGAAGGCAAGAGCAACCGAAAGGTATATGCCACCTGTGTCGGGCAGGACAACGTGATTACCCTTTCGAACAGTTGGGAACGCGGAACCCTTTCTGGCTTCCAACCATGCATACTGAATCTGGGTTCAAGTCGGTGCCAGCTTTCACACGCCTGATGTGCTTGAGACAGAAGCCAGAAGCAATGTTTCAGTTCGACATTTGGCATGGTTTCACGCTCGGTGTTGGCAAAACTTTTGTTGCCAGCACGCTGGCATTGGTGTCAGACCTGTTTCCTGGACGGTCCAAAGATGCTCGTTTTGAAAGCCTATCATCCAACTATTTGGACTGGTGCAAGGCCAATGGGCAAACTGCATACTTGAGCTACATTTGCAAGGAAACTATCTTGTGGCCAAGCACAAATGAGATGCCTTCAGCTATATGGTCCAAAGGTGCTGCAACCACAGTGCTTCTGAGATGGCTCAATGCTTGGAATCAAGATGCGGATTTGTCGGAGAACGTGCTTTACCAATTGCAAAAGGAAGCTTGCGGTTGCATCAATTCGTTCTTTGCACAGCTGTACGAACTGGATGCTTGGATTCCTAGTGCCACTGCCATTGAGCTCGGAGAGCTTGGGCTTCACTTTTTGGCCACTTACGACAAGCTCGCAAAGGAAGCATGCCGACAAGGGAACGTGCTGTACATGTTCGTACCGAAACACCATCAGTTACACCATGCCTTTTTGGTTGATCTTTTTTTGGCAGGCCATCGGCAGCCGTATGTGATCAACCCGTTGATCTACGCAACCCAGTTGTCGGAGGATTTCATAGGCAAGGCTAGCAGAACTGCCCGAAGGGTACATGCTAGCACGGTGGTTGAAAGAGTCATCCTCCGATATTTAACAAAGGCCCATCAAGAATGGTGCAATGCGGGGTACATTATCAGCTGATGGGGTCGAATCAGCGGAAAAACGACAGTTTGTTGCAATGTGCTATTGCAGGCACGCATGATGCAGTTGTTCACCTGAGGCGACCAAACCCCAAATAATTGCTAAACCCGAAAACCTGGTTTTTGGGGAAATTTATGGTTTTTTCCCTAAACCCTTGTTTTTTTAAGGTTTTGGTTGCTTAAGGTATATATATATAAATTAATATACATTATGTATAAATATATTCCATTATATTCCCGTTGTTCTTGTCATATCTTCGTTCCAATTTTTCCGACATCGTCCACGGCGCCCAGGCCTTGCGACCTGGGGCTCCTTTTGACGCTGCATCGCCAGGCCTGGATCATCCCGGTAGATAGGCAGGCAGGTAGGTAGATAGACAGATAGGTAGATAGGCAGGTAGGTGGGTAGGTAGATAGATTCTTATCTATATAATGGGACAATCATTGAGATATTGGCATCCCGTGTCCGTAGCAATGAAGAATCCCCGAAATAAATGGAGGTTTATAGCTGGGACAATCATCGAACTATAGCTCGTGGATTTTCCAGCTAGCTATGGAGCTGATTACCAGAGGGTAGATCCACATCATGAACTTGGTGTTTTTCGGGCGGGATTTCACCTGATTTATTGCTGCAGTTATCAAAATTGTTTTTTGAAGAGATTTGAACATCTACGAGTCCAAAATTGGGAATTTAGGCAATGAGTCATGGGCATCCTAAGAGTAGGGAAACACAGCCATCAACAAGAGAAGTTTAACGACCCAAAATTATGGGGATATGCTCGATCTCTTCTTGACATGAGGGTTAGTGGTAGTGTCTGAAATGGGGGATGCCACAACTACAACAACAGGGATATAGTGGGGATATAATTCTAATAGCGATTTAATAAGAGATGCAATGGATTGTAATGGGATATAAAACCAACATAAAGCAAGAATCTTATATGGGTTTGTTCAAAAATGGTGAATGTGCCTTGATTTTATCACCAATTGGTCGGGAGAATGACGATACACACCATTTGGATTTAGGGGATGCCCCATGTTCAGTGAAAGGTGCCGAAAATCACTTCTCCCCATTGGAAGTGATTTCACCATGACAGGAAGAATCCTGTCGTGGGCCCATTGGTATCCGCTTTTTGAAGCCACATGAAAATCCATGATGTCATCAAGGAAAAGCTGCGCGGAAATCGTTTTCTCAGTCATGTTACAGCTATAAAAACCCATCTTGGCCGTCGTTGAGTCATGGTCCCAGTCATCATTGGTTCAATGCTATCTTCTGATCATTGGATTGGGTGGAAAATTTAGGGTTGAAACCCCCATATTTGATGGATTTGGATGGTAACAAGTAGTAAAAACCCATGGTTTCCTGTAGATTTTCCCTGGAAAATCAATCCAATGATCCACAGGTGGAGCCTGTCGTCTTAGACATTGCTGAGATCCACTACCGCTTCACCAGCGGTCGACACCACGAGGCGGCTGGGCATTTCCTCGTGTTTTTTTCGGCCTTTTTTGGGGGGTGTACCTGAGAGTCTTGACCTAGATTCCTAGATCAACATTAATCAACCATGTATAACCAGGATAACTCAGAGAATTTGGATGAATTTGGGATAAAAATGGATATAAAAATGGGGCTTCTCACTGAAGGAGACACAGAAAAAATTAGGACGTCTCAGTTTGGAGGTCATTGAGGTGATCTCCCTTTTTCAAGTGGATCGAATCTGTGGGAGACCTCAGACCTATGGAATCCTATGGCCCAGGAGTTGATATGGTCAAAATTTGGGCCAGAATCTTGTGACATCTTCAAATTTCTCATTTTAGATCATTTTATCAAAGCATGTTGTTATATATATATATATACATATACATATATATATATATTCATATATTATAACTTTATGTCAGGTGGACATCCTGTCGAAGATCTGTTGACTTCCAATATTTTTTGACCGTCGTTCCGAGGTCGCAGCGTTCTAAAGGTCGTTGAGCCGCTTGGAGCAGATGGAGCAGTGAGTGAAACAGAGGAATCGAGGAGCCGAGCAGTGAACGCCCCCCCCCAAAAAATGCCGTGTGTATATTCAGATAATATGATATTATGAGATATTATGATATACTATGATATACTATGATATATTATGATATATTATGATAATATTATGATTATATCATGATTATATTATAGGTAAAACACTTTTTTCACATTTGGCGAAATGAGAACTCTCCCGGCATCTTCTAGCGGCTCCAACTTGGCCCAGGTCCATTCGGCAGACACTGGGCTCACTTGTTTGCCCCTACCGCAGGGGCCTGAGAGCTGTATAAATCACAATAAAATCCATTCAGATATCCATCCAGTGGAATTAGCCATCACCATTCATTACCCGGTGGCCGTAACGGTTCGTACTCAAACATTGCGTAAATATGGCATTGAAAAAGAGGATATCCTGAGGATATCACCTTGCTATGTTTGAGCACTCACCGATGATACCGGAGGGTACCCTCTGGTTATGTCAAAATAGCTATTGAAAATGGTGATTTATAGTGGATTTTCCCATTGAAAATGGTGATTTTCCATAGTTATGTTAGTTTACCAGAGGGTAAGTCATATTTTCACCAGGTTTTTCAGCGTTTGCCGACCTGAGATTTCGATGATGGCGTCCCAAGGGACTCCTTGCCAGAGTTCTGCCCTCAGTTTTGAAACGGACGAAAATCCCTGGAACGTGGTGATAATTCCGGGAATCTTCAGATTTTGAGAGAGATTTCACCTGGATTTAGCGGGTCGATGGGAACCGCCTGCCCGTGTTGAAGCCATGGCTTTTTTGAGGCGTTTGACTCCCTCCAGAATCCTTCAACAATTCTTTGCAGATGTTCGGCAGCTGGCAAGGCCACAACCGCCGGTGTTTCTGGCTGAAATCCACCGGTTCATCATCTTGTCCCCTACGAAATGGCCATGAAATGGCAATCTTATCATGTTTTGGAATCCCAAAATTCCCTGTTTGGAATCTATTTGGGAGTTTTATTTTGTTTTAAAGATGTCTCTAAATCATTTTATATTCTCCAAGACTGTGAGTTTTTCCCCATTTTTTGGGTCCATTTGGGGTTGTAGAGTTGAACTCCTATTCCTCATGAAGACTGTAGCAACATCGCATGGGCCTAAAATATGGATAACCCATTCTATTATCCCATGGTGTTTCGCTATTCATCATGTTTTTTTTTGGTGTGTCCCTACATGGCTTAAGAAATTAAAAATTTTCTTAAGGTGGTTGAACAAATCTTTGTTGCCAGCGGTTACCAGTATGATAATCCCAGCTTCCGTTCATCTGACGGCCCAAGCACCAGTTTTTCGGCATCACGAGGACTGGAGGGACCGAAGTCTATAGCCAGGAGATGATTGATGAGGCCACAACAATGGGCAAAGCGCCAGGATTTGCTTGTGGTTTCGACCATCACAATTTAGTCATTTAGTGGCCATTATATACAATGATATATATATATATACAATTATATATATATATATGATTATATGGGAGTTGATCTAAAGGTCCCTGTACCTGTACCGATTGTTTATTACAAAGGCCGTCAGTATTAGAACAAGTGACCGCGCGAAAGATTTTGTCTGAGTTCGCGAAAATAAGTCTTTATTAAGCGAAAAATATGGCGAACGTTTGTTTCGATGAGGTGTTTATTACATTGTTTTTCTTTTTTTACTTCATAATCAAGTGGAGATGCGCCCGCAAGCACGATTCAGGGCGAGGAATTTGTGGTTGATTTGCAAAATGATTTTTGCGAAAGTTGCGCGAAAGCAGTGGCGAAAGAGAAGGTGTGCATTGAAACCCATAGCCTATACACAGCACCTTTGCAGCGTTATGGGGGTCTGGAAACAATGAAACTCTATCGTTTCCTTTTGGAATTATATCCCAACATGGCCTTGTATTTGCCCTTGGCTGCTCACATAGTTGCTGTTTACATGCAGTTTGAGCGCGTCTCAGCAGCACACAGATGGATCACCATAACCCCGCGAAAGAAACACGTGGAGTTGCTTAAAAGATTTGCGAACCTCTTTTTTTTGATCCGCGAAGAATGGCCGTTTGCAGATGAAGGAATTTAGATCAACATGTTTTTGATGATATTTTTAGGATGTTTTTGATGCCCTTCATATATTTTTCTGGGATTGTCATGATCCATTGTTGGAATCCTTAGTCATTTCGCCCAAGCCTTGGAACCCCAGTCGTAGAGGATCCAAGCAAAATCCATGCTTGGAACAGGGGGGAAACTGTCACCATGGCTATCCGCTTGGCAGGTTCCATGTATGGCTTAAGGTTCCCTTAAGGTTCCCAGCAGTTCATGGATCTGCTTCAGGTCAGCAGTTCGTGGGCTCCTTCTGAGAATGAACTGTTGGCCTTGGTCCTTCGTTTGGGACTTAGCAAGCCCATTGCTGTCCCATCAATATGTCCAGGACGATGTCCGTTGATGTCCGTTGAATCCATCAGAATCCCAGGCCTCGAAAATTGGGCCGTGGAATCCCGGAAGGTTGGCTATCTCATGGAGGTGAGGCCGCCTCCGAGATTTTTCGTCGGAACATGGCAAGAAATCAGTGAACTGAAGAAGTGTATGCATGTTGCTATATGTTGCTATATGTTGCTATATTCTATTTATATATATATAGTAATTATGTAATTATATATACAACATACATGTAATGTACATGTAAACCATGCAGGAGAACACATCCAGAGGTTGGCAGTCTGAGCCAGGCTGAGACCTTTCACTCGATTGAGGGGCTGGTGCCGGGCTCGAGATCTGGAAGATCTCCTGTTGAGTCTCCAAAGATCAACAGGGATGTAGAGAAAATGTGTGATTTAACCATGAAAACATGATAAAAAACATGGTGAACAATGGGTGACTTTATGTGATTTTAACCACTCAAGAATGATGATTTTCGCTGGAATTTGGTGGTCATTTCATGTTTTTTTTGGCGGGAATATCTCCAGTTATGGGGATCTACTCGGGATATCATGATGACCAATACATCTGTTTTATTGGATTTTTATACGGGAATCTACATAGTTGGCCGAAGCAACAAGAGTCGGGCAAACCATAAGATGGGGATGTGATAGGGGATATTCATAGAATATACAAGCAACGATTACGATGGGGGTTTCTCCCAACATGGTGTATTCCGACCGTATTAAGGTATACCCTAGAATGGCAATCTGAATGGAGAATTGATGATGATACACCATGTTTTTTTTTAAAGGGTTTGTCCATGTATGTTTGCACTATTTAAGACAAACCAACAAAAACCAACGGCGAAACCCAAGTTGAACCTGGATTTCAGAGGTTTTGATACGTATTGATCAATAAAATAGAATATTGACTGACCAGCCATAAAAGAATCCAGGGCATCTGCTTCAGGTATACGGTACATGAAAGTACATGATATATCATGATGTCATATATAATCATATAATTATACATATATAATAATATATAACCATATTTATATGATTACACATATAATCATATATATATATACACATATGATAATATATATATAACCATATATATATAATCATATATATATAATCATATATAATCATATATAAATAATCATATATATATATCTATATAATCATATATATATATTTAATGACATATACAATCACATATATATAAGCATATATGTATATATACATAATCATATATATAATCATATATACATAATCATATATATATATAATCATATATATATAATCATATATATATAATCATATATATATATAATCACATATATATATAATCATACATATATATAATCATATGTATATATAATCACATATATATATATAATCATATATATATATATATTTAATCATATATATATATAAAATCATTTATATATATATATATGATTATATATATAATCATATATATATATAATCATATATATATAATCATATATATATAATCATATATATATATAATCATATATATATAATCATATATATATAATTAGTCATATATGTTATATAATCATATAATATATACAATCATATATATATATAATCATATACATATATAAACATATATATATAAAATCATATATATATATATCTATAATGAGTAAAGTCCGATTCCGAAACTTCTCCGGATTGCGCAACAGGATTGCGCAACTCCCAGGATTGCGCAACTCTTTGGTCGGATTGCGCAAATAGGATTGCGCAACTTGACTTGCTCAAGTTTAAGATGATATCAACATTCCCACGCCTATGGAACTTCAACCTGACTTGGAGTCTCCACAAGGTTAAGATGATATCAAAATTCCCATCCCCATGGAACTTCAAACTGACTTGGAGTCTCCACAAAGCCAAGATGATATGAAAAATCCCACCCCCATGGAACTTCAAACTGACTTGGAGTCTCCACAAGGTTAAGGTGATATGAAAATTCCCACCCCCATGGAACTTCAAACTAACTTGGAGATGGAACTTCAAACTAACTTGGAGTCTCCACAAGGTTAAGATGATATCAAAATTCCCACCCCCATGGAACTTCAACCTGACTTGGAGTCTCCGCAAGGTTAAGATGATATCAAAAGTCCCATCCCCATGGAACTTCAAACTGACTTGGGGTCTCCACAAAGCCAAGATGATATGAAAATTCCCACCCCCATGGAACTTCAAACTGACTTGGGGTCTCCACAAGGTTACGGTGATATGAAAATGTCCACCCCCATGGAACTTCAAACTGACTTGGGGTCTCCACAAAGCTAAGGTGATATCACATTCCTCCCCCAATGGAACTTCAAACTAACTTGGAGTCTCCACAAGGTTAAGATGATATCAAATTCCACCCCCAATGGAACTTCAAACTGACTCTGAGTCCCCAAAATGTTAAGATGATATCACAATTCCCACCCCCATGGAACTTCAAACTGACTTTGAGTCCCCAAAATGTTAAGATGATATCACAATTCCCACCCCCATAGAACTTCAAACTGACTTGGAGTCTCCACAAGGTTGAAACGGTATGAAAATTCCGATTTTCAAGTTTCACAATACCAGTTTCACAATCCTTGCGGCAAGTTTCACAATCCAGGTTTCACAATCCGACCGGGAAGTTTCACAATCCGACCGGGAAATTTCACAATCCGACCGGGAAGTTTCACAATCCGACCGGAAAGTTTCACAATCCAACGTTGACCATATATAATCATGTACATATATATATATATAATATATAAATCTATAATATATATATATATATCTATACAGATATACATATAGCTACCGATGCCACCAGGCAGATTGAGCGCCTCAGGTTCAACGATTCTTAGCCATGGCTGTTGACTTTGCCCGCTCCCTTGCAGAGGTCCGAAGGGGGAGCAGATCTTGGTGCTGACACTTGCCTTTTCCACGTAGAAATTAGGCCTGAGACATGTTCGACCCAGTTCCGAAAAAACTACCGACTTTCGCTTTGGGAAGATCCCTTGGGGGAATCCCTTGACGAGTCGGAGCTGGCCGGACACCCCAGGATATGAGTGCAATGTTCCGTGCTCCCAACTACGTATCGCGAGAGATGACCCCCGGAGGCGAAGGGATAGGGGGTGGATAGGGAAGGTGAGCCCCACTTTACGGCCCAGCATGCTTCTAGTGTTTATGACCATTATTATAGCACTATTGCTATTGTGGTTATTACTATGATGATGATGATGATGATGATGATGATGTGTTTTGATGGAAATCTGCCCGTCTTTAACCGGTTCATATTTTTTGGCAAGCAGATTTTTGGAACCTCTGGTCTGTGAAAAAAATGCATCATTGTGATCATGATAGGTGCGGTTGGGTGAGATGAACCAGCCAATGTTGGATGTAGTGGTGCTCGGGAAGAATTCAGGAAGTTCTGTTTTTGTCCATTTGGTGCTTTGAAGCACTTTGTAACATCTGGTTATTTAACGATATCAATGTATCTAACTGGGAAAAACATCATTTTTGATCGGTAAATCAGTGACAAATCTTATAAATGAACCATTTTGCATAGCTATGTTAAATAACCAGAGGGTAACATTTGGTTTTACTTGTTCCATCCGATTTGGCCAATGTGTTTGGGCTAGGTTGAACTACCCAGCGGGGTTGTCATAGGACATCCCCGCTTCCATCAGATTCTCATCAAATGTTACATCAAAATGGTAATATTTTGGGCATCCCATCTTTGGGCAAACCCATATCACATTGTTGGTTACAGTAGACACATACTAATTAATGTATTTAGCCATGGTAACATTCTTTTAAGCAGCCGCCAAAACCTCCAAGTGGAGATTTAAAGGGCTGTTAAAGTAAGATGGCTCCGCGAAAGCTAAAACCACATTCGCGAAAGATTCGCGAAAGCTTTTGCGAAGATTTGCACCCGCGAAAGCTCGCAAAAGAGACTTTCAAGGCTCAAGTATGTTTGTAGACAGCTTCCTCAGATGTATCTGGATCCATACGGATACATTATTCACAAATTTCGATAGATGTGACCCGAAAATCCGCGAAAGCTTCGCGAAAGCTCCGCGAAGGATCCGCGAAAGTCCTGACTAGCTGGGATGGCCCCCCCCCCCATTTTATAGGGGAGTGGCAGTGCCCACTGAGATCTGGCGCTTGTGGTGTCTGGCTGTGCCCACTGAGATCTGCGGTCGCAGTTGGGGTCCGGCAGTGCCCACTGAAATTTGGCGCTCGCGGTTGAGGTCCGGCAGTGCCGACTGAGATCTGGAGCTCGCGGTTGGGGGTGGGGTGGAGGACCAGGAGGTGAAGGAGGAGGAGGCCACCAGATGCAATATCAATCCACATGTTGCCACAGCGATAACTGCTGAAAAACGATGTCCGTTGTGCTTGAAAATTGAAGGTTTCAATGCGCACTTCACTGCGGAAAATGGGGAATTTGTGTCACATGTTTTCCGCGAAAGCTCGCGAAAGTGAATTTCAGACACATGGATGCCGCGAAAGAAAAACCTGCATCGCGAAAGGTTCGCGAAAAAGATTTGGCAAACCCATATCATATTGTTGGTTACAGTATACACATACTAATTAATGTATTTAGCCATGTTAACATTCTATTGTTTTTTGTTTCCATTGTTGATGGTTAAAACATGGTTACAAAAAAAACTATGGATATGGAAAAGGCCCAGAAATATCACATCACGTATCTTATCTATCCTATCACATCCCCACCATTATATCAACCACTTGGGGGTGCAGTTGAGGTTACAGCCATGGTTTTTCACCATGGCTATAACCATGGTTTTTTCAAACCCCCCATAAGTTAGGATATAACATGATGTAAACATATATCTGGATTAAATTTAACATGTTTTAACCATGGTTATATAGGATATAACCATATATAACCACTAGAAATCTGGTGAAATCTCTCCACTGCCCTACCTGCACCTGTTTTTCGCAGGTCAAGCCGACACCGAGGAGCACCGAAAGGGGGATCCAGTGACGGCGTGGATGCACAGCTCGAAACTGTAGATCTACCTTCTGGTTATGACGAACAGTTCGCCATGGTATAGATGGCCCTAATCGAAATAGATGGTTTACCGTTCTTAAAAATGGGTGGATCTTTCCATGGCAAACTGTTAAATAAGCAGATGGTAACATTTAGTTGGTGGATCTAACATTCTTTTTTGGTGTATTGGATTATCAGTTAGAATAGTTAGATACACTGTAAATGTGAAGCCAAATGCAACTAAATACATTGAAATGATTTTAAATACTACCGTAAGATTGATTTCTATTTTTTGGTAGAGCCAACGATAGCGCATGTTTGACTCGCCAGTTGAAAGCTCACAGTTTTTGGGCGAGTTGTCAACACAGAAAGATGTATTGTCATCAGTAAGGAACTGGGGAAATAATTTCAAACACAGGATACAGGCGATCCCTAAATGGGTGTGTCTGAAAACCCAATGGTTTTGCTGATCATTATCCCTACTAAATGGCTATTTGTTTGGGAATATACCCAACATTTTCAGACATACCCATATAGATTGGCTATAGATTAGCTATGGATGGCTCATGTTGATTGATACATGGCGTTGTACCCCAACTGGTTTCATTGGGATTGTGTGACTCATTCGGAAAATCGGTTCATGCCTGGAAAAGCAAAAAGCAACACAGGCGTTGGATTGGTAGGAGGTCTTGAGAACTTGAAGATATTTGACATGGTGAATAGTGATGGTTAATAGATGTTAATAGTGGTTAATAGGGTATAAACCAACAACAATGGGAATATGATGGTTATATACTGGTTGGTGGTTTGGAACATGTTTTGTGTTTCCATGTATTGAGAATAATCATCCGACTTTCATATTTTTCAGAGGGGTAGGCTCAACCATCAACAGGTGGAAAGGTCCTGACATGTTGTAACACATGCTGGCGACCTCCGCAGGCGAACTCTCGAGAAACGCTTTCGTTCGTTCTGAGGTGGACATCTTTCAGCATCAGCCCGAGCATGGTCTTACATTGAAGCCCGAGTTCCTCTCAATGTGAGGGTGCCCAAGTGGTAATTTCATTTGTTTTTATTTTGGTAGAGTAGAATGGTAGAAGATCAAAGGCATAACGGCGGAAAAACAACATCCTTTTTTTTTTGCTCCCTTTGTTGCCGAAGTTGGAATCCTTTTCAAATTGCCCTGGTTGCAATTTGCCCCAACTGAAACGATGAAACATCAGATCGAGCCAAGATCTCAACAGCTCAAGCACTGGCCGATCCTCAGAAACGCGACGGATGGCTTTAATATGGTTTGATCCAAGCAACCCTCGTCAATCATCATATTTTTTCCCTTAAGACATCATATTATATCATATTTTCATCTTGTTGTTTCCTGTATATATATATATATGTATATTATAACTATAATTATATATGTTCCATTAATCAAATGAATTTCCCTCTCCATCCCCAAGGTTGATTTCCCCACTGTTCACTAAGTTCACAAGGCTGTTCCTAACGCCTGCAATTTTCCAGGTTGAGGGACATGCCGGCTCCAATACATCAACCGCCAGATACCTAGAGCATCCTAGAGCGATTTGGTCAGAGAATAGCAATTCTACCGATCGATCTAGACACATCTGGGCAAATTACAACGACCTCACGTCGCGACCGAACCCTGGAATCATGGTTAATAAGAGGAATCATCCCAAAATGGCCTTATTTCAGGTTCGTGAATTATTGTAATTTTCCCAGATACATATACATCTGGTTATGTGTATGTGTGTATGAGTGACAGCCTTTATTCGGTGAAGTGAGAGTAGTGTTGGGTGGTCCGAAAACACAATATGTAGGTTGCAAAACGAGGTAGGAACACTCCCTCGATTATGTGATGTACCAAATACTTTCCGCGGTTCACATACAATATGTATATATATATATATATATTGATATTGATATGTATGTTGATATATGTAACTATATATAATGAATTTTATTGTGTGTACACACACACATATATATATATACATACATACATGGACACAGAACGGAACTTGCTTCAACAACCCCAACTGCACTTTTCCTGATTTTCAAGGCCACTGCACAAGGACTTCAAGGTTTGCGAGTCGCTACCTCCAATTCTCACTTCGGCTTCGGTACGCCATGATGTTTTTTTTCCAATGGGCGATCCCTATCTTTCCCATTAGATCCTGTAAATCTGAGATATACCACACAAGAACAAGGCCAGAATATCAGCTGAAGCCTGAACCGGAAAATGGACGAACCTGTCATTTAGGCCCTTTTGATCAATACAAAGTTGGACAACATGACTAAGTCGTTATCTCCCCCTCAACCAGGGCTGGTTTCAGCACCAAAGTGACGGAGAAATCACCGCAGTTTGGAGTCTAGGTACCTCAAGGTCTCTCGCTGGACTTCTTGGATGAAGCTGGAGGATGGGGTCGATGACGATGGTTGAGAACATCATAACTTATCTATTGAAGTGGAACCCTTTTTAGGGATGTACCATGGATATCTAACTTAGTTTCAGACTAAGCCACTAAGCCGCATGTGGGGACGCAAGCTGTGTGTCTCCACGATGTCGCAAATCGCGTGATGATCATATTCTGCCGCGTGATGATCCTCTTTTGCTTCTTTCTCGGGATATTGAAGCATGATGCGTGTTGAAATGTGTTGAATCAATTGGGTTCCAGTGTGTCGACATGTGTCGACGTGCCGGCAGGCTGGTCTCATCGTTTGAGGCTCAGTGGCTACCAGCTGCTACCAGCTGCTACCAGCTGAAACTTGGTCCTGCCGAGGGGATGTGACGGGAGCACAGCGACGATCACCATCCCCACTGCAGCCAGCATCTGAGATGGGATCACCTGGGATCACCTGGAGCACGTTGAGTTGGGCTTCTTGCCAGGCTATTGCAGGCCGTAGCTTCCTCTGGAACGCGGCTCTCCAATCTCTTCATCTCGGTCCAGGTGGATGATGGATCATAGAAATAGGGAAACCATGGAACACACGCATTTTTAACTAGGTAAATCATGGTAAATCATCGAATTAAATGAATCTAAATGTGCAATTGATTAGATTTTATATCATTTGTATAGCTAAGCTAAATTACCAGAGGGTATGTGGATGATGGATATTTGGTTGGTAGTTTCAAGTTCACTTTTGATGGTCGTTTTTAAGCCATCATCCCAGAGAAAATCCATCGGGGATGATAATCATGATATGATCCCGGAGCCAAAGGAGCGATGAAGTTTGGATGATTTGGTCATATTTGGTCCATAGGTTTTGATGATGAAATGACACTTGATTTTGATAGTGAAAGTCAAACTCTCTATGATACAATGATAGTGAAATCAATGACTCTATGAAGTTTGGATGATTTCCCTCCATCTCAATGGACTTTTTTGGGATTTTGCATTGGCCATGGACAGTCCACTTTTTTGCGATAGAAATATCTATGAACGGCAGCCTTGTTCTTGCTAACGTCGTCGATCATGACGCAGTTTTCTTTTGGCATTTTTTGGGATTTTTATTGGCATTCTTGCTGTTGGGGTGGGGTGGGGTGGGGTCGGGGGCGCAATACTGTAACATTCTTTATCGACGTCTTCATTGACTTGCGCAGCAACTTGACGCTACGCTGCAAGATCTTCTTTTGCACTTGCACAAAGACCTTGGCCACCAAGGCTAAAGAAGGCCATGTCAACCAAGCTCTGTGGGACTGGACGCACAGTTGGCAGTGGCGCTTCAATGTTGGCAAAGATTTGTGGTCTGCAGTGCCACAAGTTATATCAAGTGATGGAACACTTGAATTATTTGACCAGCAGCACAGACCGCAAAGACAAGAGAAGTGAGTTGGCATGATCAAAACATTCAATGTTACAAGGCATTGATGCTTGAAGACCAAATGTGAAAACGTCCCGCGTCATTGGCGGCGTTCCCTTGTTACACACCCTTCTCAGATCCGGAACGGATGCCAGATATAAGCTGATATACCATCGGAGATGTTTAGGTGTTCCGCATTTATGAGCACTATTGATCAGCTGGGCTTCATTTTTTCAGCTTGCACTCTTATAAAAAGGCTTAATCCCAAATCAGGACGTGAACAAACACCATAAAAAGGTCAAAACAAAACCGAAAAACGATGAAGTCTACTTGTATCCTATAAGTTTCTATTTGTTTCCTTGTACCACCTATCAAAAACAGACGGAACACACGTTTTTTTTTTGGCCAGGTATCTCCCTACCTCCTGAGCCCGTGCTGACCTCAGCCTTACCTTTGGGACCTTCCTGGGACCTGGTTTTTTCGTGTTGAGGTCCCCCAGCTGTGGATCCAAGCAGACTTTGTACGTCTGGATGCACGGATGGGATCTGGATCTCACTGGTGGGGATGGGAGGGGCCTGGGGCCTGGGATCTGACTAAACTGACTAAGAGATCTAAGAGCTGGTTGGTGGTGACTGGAAGCGAATTTTTCATGACTGGAACTGACTGATATTGGGAATGGATGGAAAATCATCCCAACCACTAGAGATTTCACGGATTTAAGATTGATATTTAGATTGATTCAGTGATTGAAAAACGAAATCTAGTGAAAATCACCCATTTAACCAACGTGAGAGATTTAGAACGATTTAGATGGATTTACCACAGAAACCTGGGCGGAGCTGCAGAACTGTTTCATCTTGGTGATTTTCGTCGTTTTTCTTGGTGGAAAATGGGTGATTTGCCTGCTGGTAATTTCAAATAGCTATTGAAACCATGGACCACACATATAATGTATAAGTATATCCGGGTGGTGGTTTGGAACATTTTTATTTTTCCATGGGAATAATAATCCCAACTGACGAACTCATATTTTTCAGAGGGGGAGGCTCAAAACCACCAACCAGATATTTTTTTTAGCTCTTAAACTGGTGATTTTCATAGCCGAGGGTGAAATTCTCAGAGGGTGAATTCAGATTGGCCCAGTGCCCAGGGATGATTCGTGGGATGTTTTTATATTTTTCTATCCTGAAAAAAAAGAGATATTCAAAAATCATGTTGTACTTAAAAAAGTTTCCAGTACCGTGAAAAAATGTGACATTTAGGAAATGAGTGGTTCATTTTTGAAAAACAAATGAACGAATTGTTTGTATATTTTGTTTTCTTGGTCTTGGGTTCGCACCCATGCCCACATTGGATTCGGATTTGAACCAGTCCGATGGCAAAACCACAAGCTACAGATCTATGAATTGAACATTTTTTCACAGGATAAAACTCAGGGCAAACATGTACGGGGCCCCTCATCCAATGATTCCATTATGACTTCGCTGGTTCCTTGGTCAACTCGAAAAAAGATCCACCAGAATCAGAGCCGTTCGCTTAGCCAAACGATTTCCGTGGAACGTCTGGAACCAGGATCCCAGTCATTGCTTGGTGGAACGCCAATTCGCTGGCTACTTCTTTCACTTGAGCCTTGGCGGTTCACGAAGCAATGTTGGCCGATTTGGGGTTGGGTTGGTGGTTTCGAAATACAGAAATAGACTGTATACATGTACATAGAGCAAGATGGATAGATAGATGGATAGAGATAGAGAGAGACAGCTAGAGATAGATAGACAGATAGAATATAGAATGATATAAAGATAGCAGATATAAAGGTAGAAATATAGAAAGAAATATAGGTAGATAGATAGATAGCTGGATAGATGATGACAGATGGCTAGATAGTATAGCTAGGTGGACAGATGGACAGATGGATAGCTAGACTGCCAGATGGGTACTGTAGATAGGCGGATTTAGATTTAGATTTAGATAGGTAGGTAGGGAAACAGACGGACGGACGGGCTGACGGCCAGACAGGCAGATAGATCACATGCACACTTTTGCATAGGCCATAGAGATATGTTGATTCATGATATGTATATAGTCATATAATGTGATCATATCATCCCCGTGGCAATTTCCACTCTAGAACTGGTGAACCTGTGCATAATTTAAACGAAATTCTTAATGTATTGGAATTTTGAAATTGATGTCAGGCTAGTCATTTTATTGTTGGGGGGTTGGGCTAAGCATTTTATTGTAAAGGTAAATCCTGATGATTTTTAACATGTTAAAATTCCATTCTCATTTTATTGCAAAAAAATGTTTGCTTGGAGCATTTTATTGCAGAATGGAACCAGTGTTTTTCCAGGATCTTTTTATATCGATGTTATTGGGCATGTCATTTTAGATCAGCGAATTTTAAGGAATTTGAAGGAATTCTAAGGATTTTTAAGGAATATTAAGGAATTTTAAAGGAATTATAAGGAATATTAAGGAATTTGAAAGGCATTTATAAGGAAATTTAAGGAATTTAGAGAATTTTAAGGAATTTTCAGGAACCTTAGAGGATTTTTAAGGAATTTAAAGGAATTTGACGGTATTTGAAGGAATTCGGAGGATTTTTAAGGATCTTTAATGTTTTTAAAATTTAAAGGATATTTAAGGTTTTTTAAGGAGTTTTTTGGAATTTTAAGGAATTTTAAGGAATTGCCACGAAAGAATGCCACCGTATTTTGTTGCTATAGAATGCTATTAAAAAAACACACACACTAAATATTTGGGCACCTTCACTCTAAAATAACCCTATCTAAAATGGATTTCCTGACCTCTTTTTAAAGATGCGTTTCTGAGGGTCTTCAAAATTGGATGAAATTGGATGATGTTGGATGCACATTCAAGCATGAATTTGGTGGCAAGGCATTTTATTGCAGAGCCAGTTTTCATTGTTTTTGTGCATTTTAAAGCCTGAGGCCTATGCACAAAAGTTAGACCGCTCTAAAACTCCTGCACAACTTCACATAATGAATTGGCACCCCGATATCATATCTATATATATAATATATATAATAATATATAATATATATATATAATAATATAATATATATATATAATATCTACATATATATACACGTATACACACATACCTTGTGCTAAACAATGTGTATTACAGGATAAACCATATGGTGCCAGTTATAAGTTGCTTGTTTTTTGCCCATTAGCTATATCATATATCTATCATAAGTCATAGTTAAACCACTTATATTTCAACTTGACTATCCTGCGGACCCCATCCTGTAGGATAAACACCATATCATACCTCTCGCCCGTGAAGGGGGCCTCGCCCAGGAATCCATTACCGCCCTTCAACGTTTCGGTGGTTGGGCACCCGAACTCTGTCAGAACTGGAGGGTTGGTGAGATCACCTTGACATTATATATATAATATATATATATATAATCTTAATAACAATATAATGCATGGATACATATAATTTTTAGATGATCATGGATGTGATTAGATGATGATCAACTGATCAGCCAATGTTGTTTTTTCGGTCAGCCGAGTGACCAACTCGGCTGAGGGGGGCCATATTCAGGTCTATTCGGGGCGCCCCTTGGGGCCCCATGGACAGCTTCCGAGCTTTGAAGTACACCAGGTTCACGTGTCGCCAAACTCAGCGCTGGGGTTGATGCTGGCCAGGAGCTCCTGATGTTTCTCAGGACTTAGCAACCATCATGTGGATGTAATGGGGAATATAGTGATTTTATATGCGTATTGGTGTTTTTTTTAGACTGGAGTAAGCATATATATATATGTATATGTGTATATATATATATAGAATATATATATATATATGTATATGTATAATAAGTACATAGAATAGCTGTCATGGGGGGACGGGGATAGATGAAGTGAAATTTCAGGGACCTCACGGTAACAAAAACTTTTTTTTTCGCATCCCCGAGTTATGTCCCAAGGACTTCCAGGGTGAACACGTTTGATTACTAGATTCAGATAAATTTATGATACAATAAGAGGAACACATATACGGGAATTTCCTAGAAAGGGGTACCCCAAATCATCCAAGTCATTAGACCATTTTAGTATTGAAATATAAATGGGGGTGAACCAAGTACTAAGTATGAGATCTGATATATTCATCTGCAACAATGGGGTATGATGTGATATTTCATGGGGATTTACCAACCATCAATCTTTTCGCGCCAGAGAGGCCGAGATCGCCAAGATTATGATGGTTGATTTCGCTAGCAGAAATTCTGTGATAGAGCAAGAACAGTACATATTTTAGTCTGAACATGGGGTATACCCCCCCCACATGACCATTGAAAAAGATAAAATTATCAGTATCCAGCAGGATTTTTGACAGGTTTCTGACAAAGCCACTCCACACTTTTCAGCTTCCATTTGAAGGTTTCACCACAGCATCAACCACCTCCAGCTCCGTCCATTCAAGGCCAAACATGGAGACACAGTGGAATAGCCTGGTAGGGACCTTGGACTTTTGATGCCTGGGGCACGGGGGTACCAACCCCTCCAAAAATAAGACGCTTTCCAGGGATTTCAGGCGAATCAAGTTGCGGCATGTTGGCATCAGATCCAGTGGTCAACCGCCGGCATCTTTTCAGTCGGGAGAGCTGTGTTTCACCCCCAAAAAGCGGGCGAAATCGCTCGTTCTTAGAACGCGCCATGGCAGAGGATGAAAATGTTCCAGTGCTAACGGTGGAGCAGAAGATTCTCCTACAAAAACTGAAGATCTGGGACAAGATTGCCTCAGGCAATCTGCATTCGATCGCCTTGTCAGATGTGCAGGCGCTCTTCGACATCTTAGATCCGGGCGAAAAAGGCCACATCACTCGAGGGGAATGCTTTTCGCTCCTGCAGATTCAGAATGTCAAGATCTCGCGCGACCAGACGACGTTTTTTCATTGGCCGATTTTTGTTTTTTTCGAAAACATTCGAAAACCCTGGTGATTTGTAATTTTCTGTGCTGGTGATTTTACAATATTTTACATACAGTACTTGTTCCTTGTTCTTGTTATCCTTTGTTGCGTTTTTTGGTTCCGGTGATTCTGGTGAACTTCATTTTTTTCGTTGCGCGGTTGCTCACCAGGTTCCTACTTAAAAGATCTCTGTGAAGATGCAGACAAAGACAACAGCGGAACTATCACCGCGGAGGAGTTTCTGAAAGCCTTGGTCACTGGAAAGGTTGCATTCAACTATTTGAAGGAATCCTTGAACAAAGGAGTCAAGGAGATGAAACAGAATGAATGCGACCCTTGGCAAAGCAACAATTTAAGAACTTGGTGAAGCAACTTCAAGAACTTTTGGGGCTTTCCATTGATTGAATTTGTTTTTTTCACAGGAGGATTCCGAAAGTTACCCATTTGTTGTCCGCGAATTGTGTTTGTCGAACTCAGGATCGGTCTGACTTAATTGAATGGCTTCAGCAGGAATATGAAACGACCAGTGCGCTCTATTCAATGCCTTCGGTGTTGATTCTTTGCGTTGTCCCATGGCAGGTATCACCCATGATTAAGGAATCTCTGCAACATCAATGCTTGGCAACAGAAAAAAATGCAGGATATGTTTCCGTGAAATTCATGGTGGTTATATATGCTGCCGGATTTTGAAATACATACACATATCCATCTATCTAACTATCTATCTATCTGTCTATCTATCTATCTATCTATCCATCTTTCTTTCTTTCTTTCTTT